TCATTAGTTGGACTCAAATTTGCGATTTGTAGTCATTTAGAAGGAAATTTAAGAAATTTCAAGCATGCATTATTATACTTACAATAGCAAATAATACTACTACAAGTTCATTGTAATAGTAAACACAAATTTTCAAATATGTTTAAACAGTTGAAAAACAATATAATTTTTCTTAAATAAAAAAAATAATACATCTACAAAGTGTTTTATAGGTGTACATATAAACAACTAAAAATAAGTTAACGATCAGATTTATCTTGAATTCAATAAACAAATCACCAGCTTCTCAAACCTATATATTAAACGCTTACTTAATATAACTTAAACCGACATTTAAGCTGAGACATTATAGTAGCGTCCATGTTACTTCAAAATTAATAATAACATCATACTGTTACCGCACGCCCGGCAACACTTTAATTACTCAAGCCTGTTTGTACAGAAACGAATGTTTAATGCGACATTTGTATATTTAATTGTCAATTAATTTAACTCCGATCGTTAATCTCGAACTCACTTAATTACTGCAAATTTGTTATAAAGCGAAATGCGACGTTTCGTTCAGTGACACCGGGCTCTTTAGTTGTTCGCAGATTTTATATCTCTCGCATCCGTTGAGCTGAGATGATTATCGATTATCGATCCTTATCGATTCATGTGAATCTTTTAAACATGTTGTAAACTATGAAAATTATCATCAATGTACGGACGAGTGCAATGTAATAACTGCTGTAATAAGTAACTATGGATTTAAACTTTTTACGTACATTACTCGCTCTTGAGATGAGAAAATAGGGGTGAGGCCTTTGTAAAAAAAAAGGAAATTCTATTTAGTCCGTCAGTCAGATCTTAGAAATGTTTTTCTTTTTCATTCAATTTAACAAAAAATTGCTTAGATAGCTGGTATTGAAGTTGTGTAGTGTGGGCTCGTTACGTCACAGCTATTTAGAAAATTACGTGTTTAATATTATTCAATAATCTATCTGACGGACAAACAAAAACATAAGTCGTCATCCCTATTTAAAAAAACAATAATTTAAGTCCTAATTCGGTTGCCTCGGTTTACTTTTGAAATAATTATTTTATTTTTGGCAATGGCAAATTGAAATCTTTTTCTTGCATCTTTCTATACCACATACATAATTCAAAGAAAATAAATAAAAAACCAACCGGCACCGTTGAAAAACAATCTCCAAATACAATCGGTTACACAAATATAATTGTCCTATATCAAAATCGCACTAAGATTTGTGTCACGCGTGGAAGATGCCATTGTTTAGACCAAATTCCTGATCTGTGACGCTATGCAGCGATCGCATTGGTATTCGATGTGCGCGTGCGCAGGTTAGCGGCGATTCGGCGGGCGACCGCCGTTACAATACAAGATATTTGAATGGAAACAATTTAAAACGTTCACAATATCATATTCAAATTGAGACGCTGTGGTTGCCGCGTTTAGCCTGCGATTGCAAGTGTCAAGTCGAATTGATCTGTTAATCCTTCGTCTGCAGTTGATGATATCCAACAATTCTTTTAGCTGAGCGGTGGATTTTTATCGTTCTCCCTATTAGACTCTATCCATATGGCATAGTGCTCTAGCTTCTGTGTGAACTGTACATTAATAGCTTCATGGTGATAATGCACATCTAGTGATTCAATAATAAATTAGGACATCATAAAGCATGAAATTATAGAACGATATTGTTCTTTTGAATTTTAAATATCGATTTTTATATATTTTTTTTACTTGAATATCACGTATTGTTTGTAATATATGAACCAATTGATGCCTCAAATTAATAATAAAATATTACCTTTGTTATTCGCTTATAATACAACTTTATATTGGTGACAGAATTTTCTGTATAGTATCTTTTGAATTTATCTCAATCTTTCCTATTTATAGTATTACTTTAGATTAGAATGGTATAGATAACAGAGATACACGATGCCTGCTGCCTGCTGCCTGCAAGCGTCTGATAAAATGAAAACTATTAAATAAATGATACATAAATAAAATGTTTATAGCTAGATAATTGGTAAAGATGATTATAAATGCATGTAGGTGTTCAACCGCATTTATTTTTGATGATATCATCTTTACAAGGTCCCTTACTTTATAATACACTTGGTGATTAGAAAAGGGTTGCTTGCAAGATATAGCTGTTATATGACCACCGAGAAACAATTAGATGTTCAAAACGAAAAACAATGATAATAATCCCACAAATTAATAATTTTGAAAATATCCGTATTAAATAGGTCATATATATGTAGTACATTCATAAATATCTCAAATAAATTTAACGTCTCCCATTGCTTTAATATAAAATAATAAGAAATGGTATTTACCTGTGTATTCCAATTGATATTATATTGAAAGAGGAGTCAAGTTGCATTTTGTATCTAGGACGTCTCCCATTTCATATTCAATTGAATGGTAATCCATTCAATCCATAGCGTGCTGTTTTGCAAACAATTTGGCAACTGGCTATATTAAACGAGCTGCTCCCACCATGAGTAATAATGACAGAGTAAATATATTATATTGATTCTGATGTCAATATGGTGTCATCTCTTGTGATATTGAATTGGCGTGATCAATGAGACTGATTATATGGCAATATAAAGCATTTTCCATAGAAATGCTAATCGATACAGCCGTTATGGCAAATACAGGCACGTTTAGAAATTGTACTTTAATGATGAAATTAATAAAATAAATACATGACAATGTATACATTACTCAGATCCCAAATTGAATAGCACTTGTATTATAGAAATCTAAGACAGTTTAAGTACCACAACACTCAGACATAGGACGAAATAAAAAAAATTGAGAATTGAACACGGGTCTGTAAAAATGGAGACGACACCTTGAAAAAGGCATGCGAGGTTGTGAAACTAACTTTTTTTAATAAAAAACTAAGGGAAATCTAAATGTCTTGTTAAATCTATTTTATCTAGTTCTACTTTATGTGAAATATGTACAAAGGATTAAACTAGGAGGTGGTAAGTTAGCTTCAAAACTTAATATAGCTATGGAGAAAAATATGTTCCATAATAACATAGTTGACTTATTAAGTCAACTCTTGCTACGAATTGTTGACATAGTATTTTTTTTCCTATAGGAGAAGATCAGAACGATTAGAAAGTAATACCTAACTATTTACCGAAGCGACGATAGTAGTCTTTTGGTATGAAAATGCTGTGCCTGAATTCCACCAATATCTACATTATGCAATATCAATCGCCACGTCACTCGTTACCTTGCCTTATAGCATAAAAGTAACAAAATATTAATGTAACTTATCGGCAAAACAAAGTAACTGACCAAATCCACGGTCTCTAAAGTGAAAAAATTTTGTTTATTTCAATTAACTGCCACTCGACTTTAAATTAGCGTTCCAATAGTTTCACCTAGCCAAGTTTCACTTATCAAAAGACGTTGGGTTACAACATTTACCAGACGAAAGCTTTATACAATGTTAAAACTATGAGGTTAACTTGTTACCGAAAGGGACCAAATTGCATTCGGCAATTGTAAAACAATAGACGAGGCTTACGTAAACAAATCACCGAACCCCAAGGTCGCTCGAAAACAAAACCATAGTTAAACGGAGGTACCAGACCGGAACCGGACTTGTGAACAGCGGTCAGGTCCAACGGAAGTGACGTCTTAACCCGAGCACTAAGGTGGTTTTCACTATCGAAGCTATCCGCTCGAGGGGGCGACCAGTTGACCGTGTAAACGCGACTTCAGGTCAAACTATGGATAGTGAAAACGAATTGATTATGTTACCTAATAAAAATATACTATCACTAAAACTTAACACTTAACTTAAAAACTTAACACCTAGTCTGAATAAAAGAAATAAATGTGATGTTATAATTTATATCTTAAACCTTATTAGGTATATATTTTTTTTTATCTATACCAACGGTTAAGGTACCTACGATTGTAATCTTTCTTTCTCAATGACTCATCTGCGCTTTTCGCACAATTTCACCAATTTCACTTGTGTAGCCACTACATCATAGAATACGCTTAATTTTTGTTTATTAACTGTTTATAACAACAATTAACGTCATCGGAGTAAATTTCAGAAATGGTCGATTAATATGCTGATATACACAAAGCTATGGATAGATAGGAAAAGAATACAGCGAAATTACAACTAAAAACTATTTTACTAAAATAAAGAATAATTACATCGATTAATGTATAAATAACGTTAGTAATAATCTGAGAGTCCCTTACATTACACCCATATTCCGTTACCAAACGTTACCAATTATGAAGTATAACTATAACAAAACTAGAGTCTTCATTAGAGTAAATAACATATGGTGACCATAAAATTCTTTTATCAACACAATCACCTCAACCAGCGTATGAAATTAATAAAAACAATAACTAGTCTACATATCAAGCTAGTTTAATGTTTCCGAGTAATGCGACAAGCTTACTTGATAGCGATTTGCATAAAACTGTAGTCAACATTATTGGAATGTTGGCTCGGACAATAACGAGACGTTAACTGTTTAATTACAGTTAAATAGATACCGATGCGGCGACAGTGTAACAAACCGCCTTGTTTTAACGTTCGTAATGACTTTGTTTCGTTATCTTGTACATAATTAGTTGCATCGCGCGAACGGCGCGACCAACAAGGAAACTGACTTGTAACATTGCAAGTTTTATATGAACGAGGTTTTTATTACCTCTATGACCATACCGCCCAGGGACCACCATATAATTAGTAATAGTAATAATCATTTGTTTGCTTTTCTTATGTTGATTACCTAGAAAATCTTTTATAAGTAGAACAAATCACACAGGAACCTCAAATGAGATATTCATTTAAGATCAACTAAATAATGTGTTGTCAAAAACTAAAACTTACAATGTCAGATTATTTGCTTGTCAATTATTCTTAACTTACATTATCCTGTATACTATAGTATTTATTTAACATATATCTTCTCTTTCTTTTCAGTCATTCTTCGGAAGATCGTATAACAACCTTAACTCAATCACCGAGTGCAAAAACAACGGAGAATGCGTCATAAATAAGAAGAATAGAACCGCATGTAAAGCTTGTCGGCTGCGCAAGTGCCTAATGGTAGGTATGTCGAAGTCCGGTTCCCGTTATGGCCGCCGCTCCAATTGGTTCAAGATACACTGCCTGCTACAGGAGCAACAGCAGGCTGCACAATCACGGTCACCACCTAGAATGCCTCAGTCACCACACCCGTTAGCGCCACCCTTTCCACCTCACCTCTTTCCCAGTCTCGCGAGACCGCGGACGAAAGAAGAATTAGCACTACTAGGACTCGATGATTTTAAACCACCTTGCTCTGGCTCTCCTGATTCACACCACAGTGGCTCGTCTCCAAAATTAGATGAGAAGACAAAGATTACACAGTCTCGGCCGCCAGAGCGACCGCTTACTCCTCCCAGGGATGCATTCGTACCACTGCCACTAGCCAACATTGGCTCCTTGCCTCATTTCCCACACTCACCGTTCCTGCCACCACCACCGTTTAGCCCGTTCGCTCATAACCACCCGTTACTCTTTCCGCCTGGCTTCCATCCACTCTACTCGCGGCATCTGCTCGACCATCCAGCTCTAAGACAAGCCGCCGAAAACAATAACAACGTCCGAATCGACGACCACAATGCAGATTCTTCAAAGCGATTCTTTTTAGATGAAATCTTGAAACAACAACGGTCTTCACAGCCGCCGACGCCACAGGAAGACGTTATATCTGAAGCCGAATTCGTGCCTACGCCTCCTGCCGAAAGAAGAACATCGGAATCGCCTTTACAAGAGAACCCCATGGATTTGTCTGTAAAATCTGACGGCAGATCGAGTTCCGCCCGGCGAAGATCCGACGACAGTGAAGTGATAGCGCCTGACCACGACGACGGCGAGTCCGGCAGCGCAGGCGGCTCGGCCAGCGAAGACGAGGACATGTCATACTCACAGATCAAAAGAATCAAGTTACACCCGCTCGACCTCACGACCAAAGTGTGACGTCAAGGAAACTAGTGCTCTTATTAAAAACAATTTATTAAAGTTAATATTACAGTGAATTTTTATAAGGCCAGTAAATCGGATTGTGATTTTAAAATAAGTAGGACGATCGAAAGGACTATCCCGAAATTGTATAGTGAATTGTTATCGCTTGAAAGAGTCTATCCAAATACGTAACTTTACTTAAGTTTAGTTAAATGTTAATGGTACTTAAAGCCCGGTTTATAATTATGTACAAATCAAATGTAAATAATAAATTATTTGTATAGCTTAAGCTCTAGGTTAATATTAGTTGGTGGTATTCTTGAACGATGAAACCAGCCGGGTTTTGCAACATTCCACAAAAAAAAAGTGTTCTCGCGGACATTTTGTATTGATTCAATATAATATAATTTATTCCCTTTAGTAGAATTTTTGATTGATGTGTTGTTTGAGGATTTAAATTGTTTTAGAATCGGGTGCATTGTGACCTTCGCTTATTATTTTAACGCCTTAAGATTTTTTAATACTATACAAAACCCAAAATCTTGTGTTAGATAATGAAATCAACGAATATTGTTTTATTAACTGAATATTATACTCTACTTACAAACATTCCTATGAAATTGCTCAATATTTCGAATGTTTCATACGCTATATGTACTCAAGTAGTGAAAATTAGTCACGACTTTAACATATATACTCATTTAATACTGCAAGTCCGTTTGTATATAATATAATAGCTTAGCTAGCTCGAATCATTTCAGATGACGTGTTTTGTATTGAATGCATTCCGTGGAGACGTACAAAATAAAAATATTCATGCACTCCGAATGTTATGTTTTATTTTATTACATGGACATCTTAAAACCCTGATTTAAAAATAGCAGGTATTAAATATTGATTCACGACCTCCGTAACCGAGTAGCTCGCACGCCGGTTCCAAGATGTCGCTATCTCTGACGTTCCGGGTTCGATTCCTGGTTGGGTCAATGTAGAAAATTAACTTTTTTTATAATGCCTCAGGTTTTGGTATCGGGGTACTAGGGCATTGCCTACGAATTAGAGCAATGTATGTGATTTTTTCTAACATTTATTGAATATGTCATATAACTCGAAATAAAATTATCTATGGGTAGAATTAATAGGAATATCCATTGTTATGGTGTGTTGTGATCCGAACCCAATACGGATAATTGGATACTAACTTCTGAAGATACAGTATGGACCAACGGCTTATCTAAAATAAAATAAACGTATCTTCGAACTTCGATCAATTGTTTAAGTAACACTAGCTCTCATTTTGTTCTCGTGTGCTACATAGAAAAATAGACATGGTTGGAATTATCGAATGCGTCTCAGACAGACCTGAGCCTGAGACTGTTAAGAAAACAAGGACAAGAATAAAAAAGCGTCCTATGTGCTAAACATACAATTATCTTTCTTGAAATAAAAATGAAAACCAAAATCATCTCATATTTTATTAATTAATTAAAAGTGATATCGTTTTAAGAGACTACCCTGAACACGTAACTGACAAAATATGGAGTCAACGTTTACATCAAACTATTGTGATGCCACCAAGAAATTCCTTGAGAAAATTGAATAAATATCAGACGACATTGCATTTGTATTATGCGAATTCCAAACAACGAAAACCGTAGCTTCAATTCATCGCTCAGAGCTTCTATCTAAAGCTAATGTCATAGTAATTATAGCGTCTCAAAAAATCTTTTTAAGACAATTCCTGCTACTAGACCACAAAATAAATATAAACATGCGTGTATTATGACTATCATCAGCCTATTATTATCCCCACTGCTGTGCTACAGGCCTTAGCTATAGATGGAATGGAGTGGAATCAAATAGGGAGAGTACGCCATGACCCACTAAGCGGGCCCATTGCGGATTGGTAGGTGTTCATGAATAGATAGATAGATAGATTGTTGACATTACACTATTTACACAAACAAACATAAATTAAACTTAATTAAAATGCAAACAATTGGCTGCCTTATTTCTTCCAGGCAACCTTTGGATGGAGAAAGAGATAGTCATTATAACGGAGACGGGGGTGTACATGTGAACAACAATATAAAATTAAGTGCAACAATAAACATAAAAACACACAAACTACATACCTGCAATAAATATTTATATAAATATGATATTATATAATAATAATCGCATACATCTATAAAAAACTACATATATACACATATTACCATATGTAATAAGTAACAATGCAGCAGCATCAAATTAATTATTACGAAAGGCTTTCTCTTTTGAATGTATCCTCTTTCTTATTATAACTATCTCTTTGCCCGTTAATTTAAATTAGGCGGTCAAGCCGCAGCGACTCTACCACGTAGGTATCTGAAGCCCCGATTGATATATAAAAAAAGCCCTAAATGATCGGTCAGATTGACAGATAAACTGTCAGCACACCAATCACGATAATTCTCTCCAATCCCAAAACAATCTTGATTCTAGATCCACTGATAGACAATTCGGGTTATATTACTCTTCTGTTACGCGGTAGTCAATGGGATTTTGTGTAATCATTAATATTTGTATATATTATATGATTCTTGATATTTTTGCTTTTTTCTTAAAGTAACTTTTAACACGGTACACACGGATAAGGACATATTATTCAATTCATATGGATAAATAATTAACTATAATATAGTCCGAAATTATATTATTTAAATTAATACGAGTTTAGGTTGCTACTCGTAAATTAAAAGCCAGGTGTTGTCGGAATTTGGAAAAGCAATTTTCATCATATAGGTATTAAGGACCATGGTCGATTGCCTCCCGAATAATCGAAAATTATTGGTGAGAAGGTGATAACGTAGATTATTACAAAATTCAGTCTGAAATTATAAGTAACATAACGTAATATCACCTAATTATTGCGTCACACGGATATTCGCAGTGTGGAAGCGGCACATCCTACGTTCAAATTGATATTGGGAATAAAAAACATAACATGCACGTAAACATGTATTTGTTGCATCAAATGTAAATTAAGTAATTCTACAGGAAAAAATGTTCCCAATCGGTGCAAAAAAATTTGTATTGTATTTATTACGGTTCATTATATTCACTTTTTTCACACACACACACACACACACACACACACACACACACACAAAAAGAAAGATGTCTATAAACATATTACTATTTACGAGTATGATATACCTTTAGCTACTGTACATGGAGGTTCACTGCAGACTTTTGCCGATATACCCACAGTATGAACCAATAATATATGTTCGTCGGATTCTAAATTTTACGCACTGATATTAAAATGAATATATTAAATTATTAATTTTATATAAAAATATTGAATAAAATAAATATTTCTATATAAAATAATAATATATATGATTTATAACACTAAATCATGAGATAAAAATTGTGCACTCATTACAAATTTTTCACTGAAACTCTAAATTTCCCCAGACAGATATAAGGAAGATACACGTTTGTATTATGTAAATAAAAATTATATATGATTTTTTATACAATATATAGGGAAGGACCACGGAAGCTTGGCCCAAAGCCATACGGAATCTCTGCAAGGATGTCAGTTTGTTTATATCACAGTCATAAATAGTTCCCAGCCATCATCGCCGTCTAGGCCTGCGCGCCACGTATCAATAAGGAAAAGTGTGATTGGATATCCTAGCAATCAATTTTAATTTCACACTCAATAAATTAGCTTTTAATTATCATCATTGGCCTGTTACTGTCCCAACTGGTGGAGCACAGGCCTGCCCTATGGATGAAATCGAAACTGGGAGAATGAACAATGATATAATAGGTCACCACGTGAGTAATGTTAACGATGTAGGCACAGCCGACTCCAACGACACAATACCATTCGAGATAAAACTTTTTTGGTCACCCTCCTTATGACCGACCTTTACGGAAGTTGCTTAACTTCCACACCACACACCAAAATGCATTAACCACTGCGCCTTCATGCACCAAATTAGTTTTAATTATGAAAGTCCGAGTTGAGATCCCAAGGAACGTCATTTATTATCATATAAGTGTTTTTTTTATGTGTAACCTATTTTAGGTTTCATATTCAGATAATAAGTCATGCATTTTGTTTGTGTTCTATGTTAATAAATAAAATAGACCATCATTTCATTAGATGATCTATTTCTGGTCTAAGTTATACATAATAATACCGTTGCCTATTCACGTTGTAAACTTCTTCAACTTGGTATTTTTTTATTTGAATAATAATAATATATAACCAAGATTTAATAGTATTCTCTGTTTTTTGTAACCTATTAAAAATCAAAAGCAATCATTCAAATGAGCAATAAAATATGATATAAGAAGATTAGAATTCTTCTATTAGATTAAAAAAAAATCAACAAATTTAAAATTGTGAATGTGTCCGATAGTATTGTTTTGATTACTCTTAATAAAAAACACAATCAACACCATAGTCTTATGTGAACTCGGAATCTGTAAAGGATTCGAAACATCAATAAAACTAAATACAAACGCGATGAAACTGTTTAAAAGTTATTTCACTTATAGATAGCGTGCGTAAAATAAAAAATGAATAAATTTAAAATCTATAATTACACTTTACATTTTATGATATTCCGATTGCTATTTGGAACCATAGACTGTCGTAGTACCAAATATTAAGTTTAGATACTAGATGTGACAACACTTCCCGCGTACATATCTTTTATATCAATCAATCTTTATATAGACTTGCCTATGCCACGTATCACTGGCTGACCTGATGAGGCAATTCCAATTCCGCTAAAGAGCAAGACGTGTAAAGATCCAATGCACATCAACTGACTTATGCGAGCAATAGGCGTAGAATCTAAAATTAGCTTTAGTCGTTAGAATATTGTAATATTAAATACTTTACCTCTCAGGGATATTCTAGGCTTGGTTCATACCTAGGGCTGCCGACCGTACTTTATAATAGAGTATCGTACACAATAAGATGTAGGTTAAATCATGTAGTCTAC